AGTTGGGACTACAGAAAGACCCTGTCTCAAAAAGATCAAAATAAATAAATAAATATAATATAATATACCCTTTTATCGATTTTTGGCTCTACAACTGTTAACTTTTACAGTTTCCAACTAAAAAGCTACAAACATTGGTTTTTCCCAAGCTAGCACTTGGGAGTGGATGCAGAACTGTCATCCACTACATAGAAAGTTTGAGACCAGCCTGGGGTACCTAAGTCCCTGTCTCAAAAACAAATGAATAAATCAATGCTGGGTGTTTTTTAAAATGGTGAAGAAAAGTTTATTCTATACTGAATATTCTTTCTCAAATTGTGGAAACTTAAGACAGATGTTTTATAGCAAAAAAAATGTGCTTTTTAAAAATATTTTATTATTTTTATGTGTTGAGTATATTGCTTGTTTGCGTATAAGTACACCCATGTCATGCAGTGCCTGCAGAGGTCAGAAGAGGGCATTAGATCACTTGGAACTGGAGTTATGGATGGTTGTTAGCCACCACGTGGGTGCTAGGACTTGAACTCAGTCCTCCTCTGCAAGAGCAGCCAGAGCTCTTAACCACTGAATCATCTCTCCAACCCTTCAACCCTTAATTATTTTTTTATCTTAAAATTATTAAAGAGATTCAACCAGGCATGGTGGCGCACACCTTTAATCCCAGCACTTGGGAGGCAGAGGCAGGCAGATCTCTGTGAGTTTAAGGCCAGCCTGGTCTACATAGTGAGCTCCAGGACAGCTGGGGCTACAGGGAGACCCTGTCTCAAAAAGACCAAAAAAAAAAAAAATTCAAGTACACCACTGAGACTGGCTAATTTAGAAAAACTGGTTAAAAAACAAAAAGTTAATGAAAATGGTGTAATTAAAATAGGAGTCACTGAAATAGTACAGTGGGTAGCATTTGCTGTTCTAGTCTGAAGATGGAATTCAATCCTTCAGAATGTAAAGGTGGAAGAAGAAAACCAACTCCACAAAGTTGTCCTCTGACTTCCACACACTTTCTCTCTCTCTCTCTCTCTCTCTCTCTCTCTCTCTCTCTCTCTCTCTCTCTCACACACACACACACACACACACACACAAATTGTGCTGGGGAGGGAGATGGTTCACTGGTTAACAGAACTTGTTATGCAAGCCTAAAGACCTGAGTTCAGATCTCTAGAACCCATGTTCCCTGACACAATACTGCCAAGTGTCTATAATTCCTATAGAGATATAGGAGGTTAAGACAGAAGAATCTCCAGATACTCTCAGGCTAGCCAGCCTGGCAAGAGAGCAGTGACCAGTAAGAGAGACTCTATCACCCTATCTTCAACACAGTGGAAGGTGAGCCTTCACATGCATTCCATGGCCCCCAATAAAAACCATGAACAAGCACATACATTCAGTCTCACACATACAGTAAAACAATAGAAAATCTTTCATTCTGCCCCCCAACAAATACTTTAAATGAACTAAAAGGAAATTGAACAGCACCTGAAATCATGATAATCCTTAAGTAACAAAATGTATAGAAATCACTTTATCATTCAAATTAAATTA